TTCCGCTCTCTCTCAAATCCTTCCTCCTTCTCCACTCTCACCTCCCCCTCTTCTCCTATCATTTCCATTTCTTCCTCTCATCTCCATCTTCCCCCTTCCATTTCTTCCCTTTTCCCTCCCCCTCCTCTTCCCCTCCCAGTTTTCCTTCTCCCATTCCCCTACCCCTCCCTCTTCCCTTCCCCTACCCCTACCTCCCCCCTTCCCTCTCTCTTCCCCTTCCCCTCCCCTTCCCCCTGCCTCCGGTCGATCTCGAGCTCTGCCGTCACCTCTGCCATTTCCCCTGCTTGTATTTCCAGCTACGGCGTGTCCTGCCTGCGCTCCTACATCAATCGCCGTAGCGTAGGATTTGTTTTCTTCGCGAGGTATTGCGTCATTATAGAATCCGCAACGATTACATTAAGGGTATTTAGTCTTTAAGGCGGGTTTCTGCTATCGGGGTTTTTACTACGAAATGTGTGAGAGAAGGCGAGAATGAATGAACGTAATTAATCAATGAAACTTTTATTTTTTTCCGGAACTACATGCATATCCCTACGACAAAAAATCTGAATGAAACACAAACTAACAAAAAATATAAATTCATTTCGATCGTGTCATCATGTGAACAACAACGTAACATTTCCGCATTTCTTCCGACTCATACCCTTCAAGGCCTTTAAAAAATCCAGTATGACTCACCTCCCGCTCCCTTTCCCAACCCCCCACAAGCCCCCTCCCCCCTTGACCTACCCCCTCCTCCTCTTCCCCTTATACCACTCCCTTTACCCCCCCTCCACCCCCCCCTTAACCCACCCCCTCCTCCTCCTCCCTTAACCCACCCCTTCCTCCTCCTCTCCCTTAACCCACCCCCTCCTCCTCCTCCCTTAACCCACCCCTTCCTCCTCCTCTCCCTTAACCAACCCCCTCCTCCTCTATCCCCTGAGGAGCCCCTGTCCAAAGGAAGGTCCTCGAGAGACATCCTACATCCAGCGGCCTGCAAAGGATTCAACCTGTGCCTCGGCTGGGGGGAGAGAGGGGGTGGAAAGAGGGGTGTGTATGAAAGAGGGTTGGGAGGGAGAGGAGTTACAGGGAAGAGGGTTGGGCCGAGAGGGGACTGAGAGGAGAGGGGAGAGTGAGTAAGAGGGGACTGAGGGGAGAGGGATTGAGAGGAGAATGAGGGGAGAGAAGAGATGAAGAGGGGACTGAAGAGAAGGATAAAGGGGTGAGAGGAGACTGAGGGGAGAGGAGAATGAGAGGAGACTAAGGGAATTGGGGAGTCTGGCAGAGAGGCGAATAGGGGAAGTGGGGAATGAGGGGAAGGATGTTGGGGAAAAGAACAGTAACGGGGCTGAAGAGAGGCTGACAAATACCTCATTCTTCCCGGTCTTGATACTGTTTTTACATTCACTCTTTTTATACCTATTTATGCATATTTGTTTTGGAAAATGTTATTGTGAGTGGCTTCTTTGACATGACCTTTTTTATGGTCACAAAAGAATACTTTATTGGTAACTCGTGTCCAGACTCCGCCATGTTGTTTCACGTTATCGGAAACAGATAAAACGACACAAAAATGAAAGAAAAAACAACAACAACAAAGCAACAAACAAAAATGTGCTCGGATTCTCATTCGCATTTTTTTCGAATAACTATACAAACCGAATGAAGACTTTTGGCACACGTACAAAAAGTACGAAAAAAAAACGAAAGAAAGAGAGAAAAAATTGAAATGCTGCCCGACTTAACAAATATAACATGAATTATTTCAATATTGAATTTGCAAGCTAAATAATTCAAGACAAATAATACAAGAGGGAATAAGCTAAGTAAAATGAAATTTAAAAAATCATAAGAAACACACAATCCTTTCAAAAAATAAAAAAAAAATTAACCAAAGGCAGAAATACATTAAAAATCATTTGGTAATTCAAAATTTCCACGATTTCTATTCCAATTCTTCAGCAATAGAAAGCGAAGTTCAAGTGAAGTTCAAACGAAGTTCAAAAGCCCTCGTCAGTGAAAGGATGCGGGAGAGGGCGTGGGTCTGAATTCTGTCGCTGAACAGAATTTTCTCTCTCGCTAAATTGGTCTAAATTTTGAACCCAAATAAGATTTCATTTTTTGAATCATTAATTATGTCATTAATTACCTAAATCAAGAAGGAAATACATGTTGAATCATTAACAGTATAAAAAATGGTGCAGTTGATTGAGAAATACGAGTAATTGCAGTGTTGTGTGTGTGTGTGTGTGTGTGTGTGTGTGTGTGTGTGTGTGTGTGTGTGTGTGTGTGTGTGTGTGTGTGTGTGTGTGTGTGGTGTGTGTGTGCATGTAAGCGTACGTCTGTGTGTACCTACGAGTTTATGTGTATCTCTCGCACCCAAAATCCATTCATCTAAATAAAACATTCAGTTAAAATACAGAAAAAAAAAATAAAAAAAATCAATAAAACCAAACCAAACTCCCCCCCCCCTTCCCACTCCCCTAGGCCCTCCTAGAGAGCCCCCCCCCCCGACTCTTACCTTTGACGGCCGTGCTGAAGCATCCGGTGAAGGGAGTCGTGAACCAACAGGACGACAACATCCTTCACTGTGGGCGGGTCCCTACGAGGCCACGCCCCGCGGGATTGTGTACGGGAGGTCCTGGAGGCACTTACACGGACGGGGAAACGACGCGCGCGTTTCGTCGTTTTTTATCTCTTTCTCTCTCTCTGTTTCGTGTTTTCTTTCTATTTTCCTTTTTTTAAATTAAGCTTTCCTTTATTTGTTATTCGTCTTGTGCGTGACGAAGAGGTGGTGAACGCGATGTCGAAAAAAGGAGAAAGATTTGATGGTGTTGTGTGTGTGTTGGGCGTGGATGTTACAGTGGGCGTGGTGTACAGTGTGGGCGTTGGGTGTGTACGTGGGCGTGTGGAGAGAGAGAAATGCCCACAGGATCGTCGATGGGCGGCGAGAATCTCCGTCGAGGGGAGATCAGGGCATCGTGTCCGTCGCGGATTTCGAACTGATCGAGTTTCTCTTTCTTTCTTTTTCTCTGTTCTTCGTTGTGTTCTTTTTTTTTTTCCAAAAACCGATCTGAATTTCTGTTCTGCTTTGGGATCAGATTTATCAATCGTTTTCCTTTTTTTTTTAATTTTTTGGTTTGTCAGTTCTATTCACTTTTCTTCATGGGTTATCTGCGAATAGTACACACATTCAGTAAGCGAGTAAACAAAAACACCGGAAAATAACACAAAACACAAACAAAACAAAAGAAGGGCGCGCGGCGAAGGAGCGAAGGATAACACAAACACAAACACGCGATCGGATGGCAAGGGAGGCGGAGGATTAGGGGGATTAGGAGGATTAGGAAGCAAGGAGGAAGGAGAACGGGGAATAGGAAGAGGAGGACGAGGAGTAAGACGAAGGAGGAAAGACTAGAAGGAAGGATGAGAAGAAAGTGTAGAGAGAAGAATGGAAGGATGTAGTAGAAAGAAGGAGGAAGGATGAAGGAAAGAGTAGAAGGAAGAAAGGAAGGAAGAGCAAGATGTAAGGAAGGAGAAGATGTAAGAAAAGATAGAAGGAAGGAAAGAAATGTAAGAGAAGAAGAAGGAAGAAGAAAGAAAAGAGTAGAAGGAAGGAAGGAAGAACGGGATGAAAGAAAAGAGTAGAAGAAGAAGGAAGAAAGGATGAAAGAAAAGAGAAGGAAGGAAGATGAGAAGGAGAAGAAGGAAGGAAGGAGGAAGGAAACGAAATCAAGACCAGGATCGAGTCGAAGGCGAAGGAATGCCGGGAACCCACACGTCTCCGCCGGGCGTCTCCCGCAGTCGCTCTACGCTTGAAGGACTTTCTGCCGGCGCTATATTGTACCGGACGCCGCCGGCTGCTCTTTTTTTTTCCTTCTTCTCCTCCTCCTCCTCCTCTTTCCCCGGAATGTTCGCCCGCGTTGATTTCCCGAGCCGCGCCGCCGGGGAAGCGCTGCGGAAGTGGTGAGCGCGATCGGCGGTGACGCTCGCCGGGTTATAAAGCCGGAGATCGCATCTGCCGCGCCGCCGGGCCTCCCAGGGACGGCCGAGAAGCCGTAATTGACAGCAAGTCAAGAAGTGTAAGGAAGAAAAAATTAAGAGATGGAGATGAAGAAGAGAAAAGAAAGAGAGAGAGAGAGAGAGAGAGAGAGAGAGAGAGAGAGAGAGAGAGAGAGAGAGAGAAAGAGAAAGAGAGAAAGAGAGAGAGAGAGAGAGAGAGAGAGAGAGAGAGAGAGAGAGAGAGAGAGAGAGAGAGAGAGAGAGAGAGAGAGAGAGAGAATATATATAAAGAAAGATATTGCACGTGTGTAAGAACTGCCGCCTCCAGCTTAATACAAGCGAGCGAGGGAAAGGAAGAGAGGCAAAAAGCCGCTCAGGAGTACCATAAGAGGCCGTTTAAACCCTCGTCACCAACGCCTTCTGTTCCCTAACGCCTTGGAGAGACGCTTCGATCCGGACCCTGTAACGCAGACACTCGAGTAAAACAGAGGCTTCGCCATCGCCTAAATACTATGGCAACACACACCGTCACTTTTGCCATAGTCTAGGCATAAGAGATGAAGTCAATAATGCCATTCCCCTATATTCCTCTCAATTCCGACACTCAAATGACACCCGACACCTAACCGTCCGTCCCCTACGGCGGCAGATCCGACACTGCGACTGTGACACACTCCGTCGACACCCTTTCTAGCACTGCACGGGGGTCTCCTTCGCCGTCCCGCTCGCTAGCACGACCTTGGTGGCCACGACGAGGGAGGGAAAGCCTAAATGAGGACCCCACCTCCACCTTCCCCCCCCGCTTCCTCTTTCACACCATCTCCTCCTCCCTCCTCCTCCTCCTCCTTCCCCTGCCTTAGGTCCTCAAATCCCATATCCATCCCCCCATTTCACCCCCAAAAAAGAGCCCATTTCTCACAACCCTCCCCCTCCTCACCCCCCCCCCTCAGACCGCATTTCTTAACTTCGACCTCCAGACGCATCTTAAGCCCCCCCCCCCACCTCCCCCCACTTAAAAGAAAAAAAAAAATCTTGGATTCCATTTTCTCGAGGCCTTCCACTTGACCTGCAAAAGAAACCACCTTGAACGCCGCCGCCGAGCTTAAAGGCAAACCATATTTCAGAAGGTCTATTATAACCTGTCTCGAACCCGTCTCGTTCATCAAGGGAATCCTCGCAACGCATCGAACACGGAAAACACGGCTGGAAAAACACGACAGAAAACGAGAGAGAGAGAGAGAGAGAGAGAGAGAGAGAGAGAGAGAGAGAGAGAGAGAGAGAGAGAGAGAGAGAGAGAGAGAGAGAGAGAGAGAGAGGGAGAGAAAGCGAGAAAGAGAGAGAGAGATAGAGAGACTAGAGAATGAGAGAGAAAAAAACACAAAAAGGGACAATCCGATAAAAGAAAATAAGTAGAACAACAAACCCAATAATCAGAACAAGAACAAGCAAAAGGTTTGCAACATGCTCTGCGCTCTGACGAATGACTGCTTTAACAGTTATTACAATTTGCCAAAGGAATGCATTACTCACACGATGAGAGACAACGGAACGCGAGAAATAAATATGGAGGCAAAATGTACATATATGCAAATATACTTATGAACACACACGCACGGATATCGAGAGAGAGAGAGAGAGAGAGAGAGAGAGAGAGAGAGAGAGAGAGAGAGAGAGAGAGAGAGAGAGAGAGAGAGAGAGAGGAGAGGAGGGAGAGGGAGGGAGGGAGAAGGGAGAGAAGAGAGAGAGAGAGAGAGAAGAGAGAGAGAGAGAGAGAGAGATGAGAGAGAGAGCGAGAGAGAGAGAGAGAGGAAGAGGAGAGAGAGAGAGAGAGAGGGAGAAGAGGGAGAGAGAGAGAGAGAGAGAGAGAGAGAGAGAGAGAAGAGAGAGAGAGAGAGAGAGAGAGAGAGAGATACGGAGGGAGGAAACGAGAGAAAAGAGAGGAAGGAGAACAGAAATATCGAAAGCAAAATAATACAAATAAATAAATAAATGAATAAAAGTAAGGGCCACCTCCACCCCCCACCCCTCCATCGTCCGGCGAGCGTAGGTCAAGCGTGAATATTTATCGCAGTCCCCCCTACTCTTACCCCCGCCCCTCCCTCCCTACACCTCACTAACCAAATCTAACGACCACCCCCTTCCCTCCCTCCCCCTCTCACTTCCCATCCCCAACCTTCCCTTTCCCTTCCCCCTCCCCCCCTCTTCCTCACCCTCCCCATCGCTAACTTTCCACCCTCATCCCCACCCTACCACCCTTCCCCCTTCCCTCCTATCCTCCAACCGCCTATCCCAACCCTCCCCCTACCACCCGTGCCAATCTATTTTATTTATCTACTTTTCATTTCACTTTATTTTTATTTTTTATTGCTTTACGACCAGCTGTCTGTGCACTCGCCCGCCCGGATGTGACTAACGACCAGACTGCCCGCCACGCACGCGCCCATACCTCAGCGCCTTGACCTTTCGGGGGCGAGCAAGGTCAAAGGGTCAAATTGCATGGATTCTATTACTTATATCCGCGGTTAATCAAAATATACATTAATGAATAACCCAACAAAGAAACGCATAAATGAATAAATTAATTTGATAAATGAGGAAACATACGATAAGGATATAGACAAATGAGAAAATGACTCGGCAAAATTAATAAACACGTAAATAAATGTCGGGGAATGAGTCAGTAAATGAGTCAAACAATAGATAAAATACATGAACAGCTGAACGAACAAAATTTATGAATAAACAGACGAGTAAATACGAATAAATAAATAAAACAGTGAAACAGAAAACATCGAACGAAGCAACCCGACAAAAAAATAATAAAGAAATAAACAGACGAATGAACGACTAAACGAACAAACAAACACGCAAAATAAATACATAAATAAACAAACAGACGAATGAACGATCACATGAACAAACAAACACACAAAATAAACAGATACATAAACAAATAAGCAGACAGATGTACGGGTAAGCGAAGGGGGCGGCTCCTTTCGCGATTTTTTTAGGCCTGGTCTGGCGTTCTGGACTTCTGGTAGGCCTAGCTATCCGATTCTCCCTGTGCCTCCCCCCCTAAAACCCTGACCTTTCTCGTTTCGTCTCTTTTATTCTATTTGTGTAATTTTATTATCTCCATTACATCATTAATGCGTCCTCCTCGCCATCAATCATTCATCCACCCGTTCTCAGCCCTATCGTCACCATTCTCCTGTACCCCCCCTCCTCCTCATCATTAACGTCGTCATCATCAGCATTATCATTCATCCTCATCTCCGCTTCACTCCTCCTCATTTCATTATTCATTCTCATCATCTTTATCCTCATCACAATTCACCATCACATCACACTCCATAGCATTGCGAAGGGCCTGATAGCATTGGCGAAGGTGCCAGATATGTGAGAATGGGGGGAGGGAACCCAGAGAAGACCCCAATGGCCATACCCCCCCCCCCCGGCAATTAACGGCAACTTGGCACCCACGGCAACGGCTCATGGCACCTGGTTGCATGGCGGTAATTAGGTTTGCATGTCATCACTTTGCGCTTGGAATGGTGGGCGATGGTGAAGATAGTGATAAACGTCGAATTCATATGAGGATGGTGAGTGATACAGAAAGCTGAACAGAGGATTAGTAATATCATATATAGTGATAGGAATGTAAATGATTATATGTGTTCGGTCAATAATAATGATAATAATAATAATAATAATAATAATAATAATAATAATAATAATAATAACAATAATAGTAATAATAACAATGATAATAACAGTAATAGTAATAGTAACAATTCAAATAATCATAACAATAATAATAACAATAACAAAGAATTATATCTAATCAAATGGATTAAAAAACAGAAGTGGCTAATGAGAACTCGACCGACTCAAATACGAACTGAAAAAACAATTAAAAATAATAATCCCAATAATTATAATTACACGAACAATCAAAACAGTAAATTACAAAATAACAAACTAATAAGATAAGATGAAAGCAAAACACAATTCATAATGAATCAAAACCTTTTTCAAAACAGTGTCACGGAAACGATCACAAGAACCCGTTACAGAAGCCATTCGGGAGGAACGGGAGACTATGAACACTCCTGAACACAATGCCTATTAGCATCTCTCGGACGGCACCGTAATGATGACTATGAGACGGA